ACTCAACAATACCACCACCCAGTGATCAACAGAAGAGCTTCAGGGAACACACCTCAAATCCAAATCACAGCGGCAAAACAGTAAAAGATACAAAAGGGTACAGTGAAGCCTTCCTCCTTGGCCTCTAGTCACCGTCTGACCTTTTCCATCCTTACAGACTCTGCATCTCTGCATTTACCTCAGGCAAACCCCCTTCACACACACACACACACACACACACACACACACAAGCACACCTCCAAGCACACGACACACACAATTCTGCACCTGTTCTTCCATCTAGCTGCAGCCTTCTAAGCACGTGCAGTCTCTCCTGTAACATGAACAAATCTCTATACATTTTATCAGTCCCCCACTTTGAAGATGAGTAGTTTCCAGTCCTCTGCCAGGCCACAATCTGCTCTTTGCTCACCTACCTCCCCTCCTCCGTCTCCTATACCTACCTGAATCCCCAACCCCTGAACCCACCAAGCCATCTCCTTCCTTGGGCCTTTGTACTTTTTTCTCTTGGTTCTTTGCAATGGCTGCTCCTCCCTTTTTTGGCTCATTACTCAAATATCACCTCAAGTGGCCTGCCCTGACCATTCAATCAAAAATAATCCCCCTTGGTGTCACGTGTAGTGGTGCATATCTTTAATCCTAGCATGTCTGTGAGTTTGAGGCCTCATCTATATAGTATCAGCCAGAGCTACACAGTGAGTCCCTGTCTAAAAGAAAAGATCCTGGGGCTGGAGAGATGGCTCAGCAGTTAAGAGAATTGGCTGTTCTTGCAGAGGACCCAGGTTCGATTTCCAGCACCCACATGGAACTAACACTTTGTAACTCCAGTTCCAGGGGATCTGACACCCTCTCTGACTCCATGGGCATTGCACAACACGGGTGCACTAATACGTTCAGGCAAGACATACATAAAATAAAATAAATTAAAAAAAAATTTAAGTTCTCCTTTACAGGATACAGTGGCTACTGTCCCAGCTATAAGGAAAATACAGGTACAAGGACTGCGTGAGCACATAGGGGTTCAAGGTTAGCCTGAGTATCATAGTAAGACTTCATCTCAAAAAATTAAATAGGGTTAGTTGTATTCAAAATGAGTTTTTCTGTATGAAACTATATTTTAATAATGAAATGGAGATCTTTTTTAAAGGTTAAAGCCTCATTCAATTTTATGTCTTATAGGGTTTATACTGAGTACAATATTGTATAACTGTATTAATTCAACTGTAAACCTAAACATTTACAGTCAATTTTGAAAGAGATGTATCTTAGCTCTGGAAATTGTTATTGAATATGTCAATGCTGTTGTAATGAAATGCTTCTTCTAATTATGTGGTTATTAAATAAATTGAAAAAAGATAAACCCTTTCCTTCTCAAAAAAAAAAAAAATTAAATTAAATAGGCTAGGCACAGAGACAGGCACCTATAATCCTAGCTACTCAAAACCAATACAGAAAAGTGCTAGTTCAAGGCCTGCCTGGACTGCAGAGTAAGTTCAATGACAGCCTGAACAACTTAGCAAAATCATGTCTTAAAAATAAAACAGTATAGTCAGGCAAGGTGGCACTTGGGAAGCAGAGGCAGAAGAACCACTGTGAGATCAATGCCAGCCTGGGATGGTCTTACACAGTGAGCTCCAGTCCAGCTAAGGCTACATAGTGAGACCCTGCCCCATAAAAGTAGCATGGTGGCACACACCTTTAATCCCAGCACTTGGGAGGCAAGGCAGGTGGATCTCGTAAGTTTGAGGCCAGCCTGGTCTACATAGCAAGTTCCAGGCCAGCTGGGGAAAAACCTTTTCCAAAAAAGAAAAAAAAAAAAAAAAAAAAGAAAAAGTAATCAATTAAATAAAATGGAGCTAGGGATATAGCTCAGCGGTAGAGCACTTGCCTGACATATACATGCAAGGCCCTGTGTTCAAGCCCCAATATCAATTGATCAATCAATAGTTTCTATTCCCATTTCTGTTTCTTTCCTTCAGAGCATTCCTCCCAATACAATCATCTGGTTTAACTGTTTACACGTTTATTGCTTATCTATAAGCTTCATAAAAAACAGTGGCTTTCTGTCCTAAGTTCACAGCTCTATCTCCAGGACCTCTCAGAGAACACAGATGGTTTAATACTTTGAGAATGATTTCCTTGACTGAATGCCTACAAGGCTCCAGCATCTGCTACATACTTTGTATACATTATCATATTCAGTTCTCCAGGTGTTTTTCAGATGAGAAACAGATATCGGAAAGTAGCCTCTAGAGAGATGGAATACATATTCAAATCCAGACCTAAGTAGATTCCACATTATACTGTATAAAGAGCAAACAGCCCAGGCTGAGGAAAACACAATAATTAGAATTATCACAGCTTAAACTCACAGGTATCCACCTAGACTGGGAAAAAGCCTAGCTATAAACAAGTGTGGCCCCTTACACTCTCAGATATACAGGAAACGCAATTATCTCACTCTCAAGAATCCAGTGTTTTGGGGCTGGAGAGATGGCTCAGCAGTTAAAAGCACTGGCTGCTCTTGTAAAGGACCCAGGTTCAGTTCCCAGCACCCACACAGTGTCTAACACTCGTCTGCAACTCCAGGTCCAGGGGATCTGATGCCCTCTCCTGGCTTCCACAGTCTTTATACACATGGTACACTTACATATATGCAGGCAATATACTCATACACATAAATTTTTTTTAAAACACATAATTTTTTTAATTTTATTTATTTTTATTTTATGTGTATGTATGTATTGCCTGCATGTAGGTAAGTGCACCCATGTCATACAATGCCCGCAGAGGTCAGAAGAGGCTGTCGGATCCCCTGGGACTGGAGTTATGGACAGTTGTTAGCTGCCATGTGGGTGCTGGGATTCGAACATGGGTCTTCTGCAAGAACAATCAGTTTTCTTAACCGCTGAGCCATCTCTCCAGTCCCTATACATGTAAATTTTAAAAAGAATTCTTAGCCGAGAGTGGTGGCACATGCCTGTAGTCCTAGCACTTGGGAGGCAGAGGCAGACGGATCTCTGTGAGTTCAAAGCCAGCCTAGTCTACATAGTGAGTTCCAGGACAGCTGGGGCTACAGGAAGACTCTGTCTCAAAAAGACCGAAAAAAAATAATAATAATAATTCTTTTTTACTTATGCCAAGTAAAAAGATTGTGTGTACTCGGCATGTAAGAAGATGGAAAAGCATTAAATAAAGAGTTGAGTTCACCATTACTGTACATGCTGCAATTTAGCATGCCAATGCTCAGAACTTACACAAGTATCTTGGATCAAGTCATCTAATTTGAAGCTATTTACCAATACCACGTACATCCTTTCCCTTTTCAAAACTCAAGCTTCCTCAGGTGTAGTGTAGGCAGCATGCTCCTACAATCCCAGCACTATGATGGCTGGAACAGAAAGACTGAAAGTTTGAGGCCAGCCTGGACAACATTGCTAGACCCTAGCAAATAAAAAAAAAAGCAGGGGGAGGTTGGGGAACACCACTGGGGATGTGACTCAGTTGGCCGAATGTTAGACTAGCACACATGAAAACCTGGCATGGTAGTGCACACTTTGTAACCCTAGCACTTCAGAGACAGGAAGATCAGAAATTCAAGATAATCTTCAGTTAACCAGGGAGATGGAGGCCAGCCTGGACTACATGAGACCCTGTTAAACACACACACAATCAAATCTTGTCATTTTTCTCTCTTCTTAAAGCTACCTCATTACCATAGATGTTAAGTATCTAGTTATCTGTTTAAGGATTCATAAAACCACATCCTTATTCCACAGTTGCTAAAAATCACAGTTTCCCTGTTTTTCTATTTTTGAACATGTTTCAAAGACAACTAGTCTTCAAGATAAAATCTTGGGGCTGGTAATATAGCTTAATGGTAAAGTGCCGGAGGCTCTCTGTTCAATACCCAGCACCAAACGGTGAAAAAAAGTTTAAAATCTCTCCTCCCTCTTCCAGATGAAGCACTTATAGTTATGTTAATGTCATTATTAGTGATGAACAGGCACGGACTCAGAACCTTAAACAATGAGCAGAGCACTTGCTGCTGAAAGTCAACTATAGTACACTAACGTGACTTTTATAAAAAGTATTATTTCTAATGGCAAAAATAAAGCCGGCTCTGGGCCCCCAAAGGCATTAAAGTTCAAGTTGGAATCCAAGACTCTCTATTTGGTTAAATTCTTTGCAGCTCAATTTCTTCACTTAAGGATTAAATGAAATAATGTATGGGGTTTTTTTGGGGGGGGGCAGAGCCTGCTATACAAGGAACATCTAACGAATGAGGAAGAAATAATTCAGCCTTCAAAAGCAACTCCTCTATAAACATAAACGAGGTAGGTATGAAACAGGGGGCAAAGTAACTAGCAATTACGAGTCTGATTTTGCTCGTTCTGGCAACTCTGCCTCCTTCAAACATTTCGGTAAATTATCATGGCATCACCTAAGATCTCAACTTTTGGCAAACATTAAACCGTAAGTGGACACAGTCCCATTATCCCTGTTAAAGAATAAACTGGCCACTCTGCAAATCAGAACAGGGCAAGAATGACCAATAAGTAACAGAGCCAAATTCCTCGACTGAGATCCTGGTAGCGACCAGAAAACAAAAAACATAGTTACTCCACTAAGACCGTTCCCTCTCTGCCCTCTGCGCATCCTACCCAAAGCTTTCCACCATACCTGAAAAGCAGCCCTCCTCGTGGCCTAAACCCCAACCCTACTGGGTTTTCTTTTCCTTCACGCTCCCACGCTCAAAGGCCAGCAGGCGGGTAGACTGAGGGGGACAAAAGCAAAGCCCCAGCGGTCGCGTGGGCAGCGATCGGGCCGCTTCCCTCTCCGTGTCGTCCTCCCTGCGCGGTACTCCATCCCCAGGACCCCCCAGCAGCCACCAGCCCGAACAGCGCCGCCACACCCACCAGCTGCCCGCTCCTCCAGCCCCCGAAACCCCGCGCCCACCCAGGCCCCGCCGAAGTCCCACACACCCGCGATGCACCCACCTGAGATCCCGCGCTCCGGCCCTCCGTGCGGCTCCCTCGCCAGCTCCGCGGTGCTCCGCAGCCAGCCGCCCTACACCGCCACCTCACCCTGGGTTCTGTGGCCAGGGCTTCCGGGCGTTCACGTGACCGAGAGGCCTGGGGCATGCCGGGAGTTGTAGTCCTTCGGCGCTGTCTCACCTGCGAGCTCCGGGACAAGGTTTGGCACCCCCCCCCCGCCCCCGGGGATCCCCTGGGAACTGGGATCTTGGCGACAGGGACAATAGCCAGGAATGCTAGCTGGAAAAGGCAGTGAGAAAGAGAGATAATTTGGGGAGAACCTGGTAGGCTGAACATTTTTTCAAAAATACCCTCTACTCTGCTTTTAGGTTTTTGCTTAAATTCATTAAATGCAGTTGTCCATATAGGTAGGGCCATTCATCAATCAGTTTAATTCAGAGCCCTGCACCCGCTTGCCAGCTCCACTCAAATAAATCATGCCTGTTATGAGCCCACAGAAATTAAAGATGAGCAACACCTTTCTCTGAGCAAAGTGCAGTGCCCTCCAGGACTGTCTTTCAACTGTTGGGGAAATAAATCTGTAAAGAAATCTCTCTCAGTGCTGGAGAGCTGGTTAATAGCACCAACTACTACAGAGGACCCGGGTTCGATTCTCAGCACCCAGATGGTGGCTAACAACCGTCCGGAGCCTTCTTCTTACCTCCACGAGCATTTCACGACACTGGTGCTGAATGCAATACACTCACACACATAAAATTAAGATAATAAATTAAAAAAATTTTTTTGGTCTTTTTGAGACAGAGTCTCCCTGTAGCCCCAGCTGACCTGGAACTTGCTATGTAGACCAGGCTGGCCTGGAACTCACAGCGATCCACCTGCCTCTGCCTCCCAAGTGCTGGGATTAAAAGGTGTGCCACCACACCCGGCTGATAATAAAATTTTAAAAAAGAAAAATTTCTCATTTGGTATGGTGGCTCAGGCCTGTAATCTCAGCATTAGAGAGAAAGAGACAGGAGGATTGCCTGGAGTTCGAGGCCAGTTTGAGCTACACTGAAAATTCCAAGCCAGGGGCTGGAAAGATGGTTCAGTGGTTAAGAACACTGACTGTTCTTGCAGAAGATCCGGGTTCGAATCCCTGTACCCACATGGCAGCTAACAACTGTCCAGTGGCAGCTAACAACTCCAGTTCCAGGGGATCTGACAGCCTCTTACCTACATGCAGGCAATACACTCATACACATAAAATAAATAAATGAAATATTTTTTAAAAAAAGAAAATTCCAAGCCAATAAAAGTTACCTAGTGAGAAACCCTGCCTCAAAATACATAAATAAATAAATAAAGCCAGGTATAGTGGCACACATCTGTAATCCCAGCATTGAGAAAACAAAGTCTGGATTGTTAAAGTTCTAGGCTAGCCAAAGCTACATAGCAAGACCCTATTTCAAAGAAACAAAAAAAATATTTCTATATCTAGAATCTACAGCTATAGCTTAGTGGTAAAGCACTTGACTAGCCTCAAGGCCTTGGGTTCCATCTTAAGAAAAAAATTATATAATATATAAAAATTAATATATAACATGTTATAAAATTATATATAATGTATATGTGTGTGTTTTAACCCAGAAAACTTTTCCACAAAGGTAGTAGAGAATGTAAGCAGTTTTATTGTCAAAACATTGAACTCCAATGGGATTCACATCATAGGCAATTGCTAAGGTTATTAAGAATCACCTTCTTACATGGTCCATTATAAATGGGCTCTCAATATCAACCATCTTCACCTATTTAAGATGAGAATGAGAAATGTGAAATAAGAGCCAAAGTAAATCATCCACATGTGCCTTATATTTGTATTAGGAAGGCTGAGACTGGAGGATTTCAAGTTCCAGGCCAGCCTGAGCTACATGAAACCATGACTTAAAACACAAGGGGCTAGAGAGATGGCTCAGCGGTTAAGAGCACTGACTGCTCTTGCAGAGGACCCGGGTTTGATTCCCAGCACCCACATGATGGCTACGAATCGTCCTTAACTCCCGTTCCAGGGGAATCTGAAGCCTTCTTCTGACCTCTGCAGCATTGTAAGACATGGGTGCCCTCACATACATGCAGGCAATACATTCATACACATAAAATAAAAATTATAAAAAAAATTTTTTTATGTGGACTCTCACCTGGCGTGGTGGCGCATTCCTTTAGTTCCAGTACTCGGGAGGCAGAGGCAGGCAGATCTCTGTGAATTCAAGGCCAGCCTGGTCTCCATAGTGAATACAGACCAGCTGTGGCTACAGGGAGACCCTTTCTGAAAAAAACCAAAAAAAAAAAAAAAGTGGCCTCTCAAGCTCACATCTGTCTACACTTGGGTGTGTCTTATCTTTTTCCCTGAGTAACTCTCTATTTACCCTCCTGCTTAAAAGTATGCTAAAGCTCTTTTACAAATAAACTCCAATTCTGCTTTAAAAGAAGACGAAAAAAAATGTTAAAAATTATTTCTGGCATAGTAGCACACCTACAATCCCAAAATTTAGGAGGCTGAGGCAAGAGGAATGAGGAGGGTTTGAGGCCAGCCTGGGCTACATAGCAAGAATCAGACTAGCCAGGATTACAAAACAGCACCTCACCCCTCCTCCTCCAAAAGACTGAATAGTGGAAAAATAAGTAATGTGAAATATGTATCCACATCTGTATATCTGTGTGTATATATGTGTATACATGTGTGAACATATATGAGTATATACATATATATAATCTCAAGTAGCTAACATCTGTCACCACTACTCAGGTCAAGAATGCCTTCCTGGGGCTGGAGAGATAGCTCAACAGTTAAAAGCATGTACTGCTCTTATAAAGGATCCTACTCACAACCACAGTAACTCCAGCTCCAGGAGATCCAATGCTCTTGCTTCTGTGGGCACCTGTACTCACATACACATATCCACACACATACACATAATTAAAAATAATATATATATAATTTTTTTTTGCAGGGCGTGGTG